ACGACCCCTCAGATTTATCTGCTGACTCTTTGGAGGGCCCCGACCCGCAGGTTGGGAATGTCACATAGAATCAGAAACTTTAATTACATATTGTCGGTAATACTTTTGTAATTATTTCTATTTTGGTAATTTTACAGGTTTTTATGGAAGCTCATTTCTGCCAATGTGGTGAAAAAAGGGTTATGTAAGTCAGTATAATGAGAAACTTTGTGATATTAAGTAATTATCTGGATGTACTAAGTTAAAATGTTGAGAAAGTTTGTGATTATTTTGAGCAAACAAGTCAAAATATTGAGAAGGTGGGCAGCAGCAGCAGCAGCAGCTGGGTGTAGGATGGAGTAACACTGAGGGATCAGCTGCTCTCTCAGTGACAGTAATGTGACTCTGGATGTCTCTCAGGAGGAAAATCATCTGCTCTCTCCAAATATAAACACCTTCACTGTAAATAACACCACTGGATCTGTTTACATCATCAGCACTGGTGACACTTCAGATTCTAGATGGAGAAACCAAACGTTGTCGTCGGTGGAGGAAGTTTAGCCGTGTGGGTTTGATTGGGATTGTTTTTGTTCCTCTTCGCCTGTTGCAAAGGTTTTGGAAAAAATCACACGTTAAAGCTGAAAGCCCGCGGAGAGACACACGAGGAGGGTTGCCACAGAAATATAATGATGTGTTGGTGTGTGTGGGAGGAAGGATGGAGTCAGTGTGTGCACACAGAGTGAAATCAACACGGTGATTCCCCGTCTGGACGGTTGAGAAACGCTTCTGAGGGGAATTCTTCACTTCAAGATTTCTTTAAATTCACCCGTTTACTGCTTAAAGCTTATATAATATATTTCTGCTGGTTCTGGTCCCTGCTGGTCCCTGCTGGTTCTGGTCCCTGCTGGTCCCTGCTGGTCCCTGCTGGTCCCTGAGGTTTCCCAGTGGAGTAGTGGAAGTACAAATCTATTACTAAAATAAAAGTACAGTAACATATAAATACTACTTACAGACTTCAAAGTAAAACTTCTGCATCTAAAATCCTCCTGAAGTATTAACAATAAAATAAAACTACTATATAGTTACTATAGTTTTATATGAAATGTCTCCAGTTATGTGACATTATTAAATTAAACGTACAGTATTTCATTTTCTCTCACATCAGAACAATAACAAACCATATTCACCTGAACTGAATGGATCCTATAACTTTATGTTTTGTTCTTTAATTTTGATTTATTCATATTTTTTATGTACTCCTGCCCTTTTGTCTGATTGTCCTTGTGTTTATTTATTATTGTTTTTTTTATTTTGTTGTGTTTCTTGTGTGATTGATAAATTGTTGCCTGTATTAACAAACTGTAGCAGTGTGTGGAAGTGAGGTTCTTGTAGTGTAATACTGAACTGATTGCTAAAATAATAACTTCTCCATTTCCATGTTTGACAACTGAAAGTCGCACTGAAACAGGAAGCTCTTTAATTGTCATTCGAGCAACTGAATAAAAGAGAATAGTTACAGGACTGACGTATCCTGTGAAAGCACCTTTTGTTGTTCCTCCCTTATCCTTATAAACAATTGAGCCCCGCCCCTTTTTGCTCTGCGCTCCAATCACAGTTGAGAAACTTTCCTGTACTTATATATGCTATGCTAAGCTAATCTATGTTGGAAAGACAACCACATTTGGAAGATGTTTAAAAGATGAAAGTGACACATATATAGGAACATCTTAAGTTAGTTAATGTGAACAAAACACTAGCTAACCTACATTCATCGCTAGTTAGTTATTAACTAGTTAACGATTAGTGTAGATGAGAGGTGAAAGTGACTCACTTTTGTCAGAAATATAATTTTCATACGTACGTTTTCATCAGTGAATAATCACCTGAAAATAATAATAATTATGTTTTTATTATCTCAGAATTAAACGTTTTTATCTACAGAGGGAGCGGCTCCTCTTCTGGTGGAGTCCGCCATGTTGAACCGCCCAACACTCGCTCTAGATAGAAGTATCACGGACATCGTAGTTTCTCCTACGTGCTTGGAATGGGAAGGTGAGGAGAGGGTGTCGCAATCAGCAAATACACCGCTTCATTTTTTACTAAATCGCACACATTGTTAATTATTATTGTTAACAAAACACTGGCTAACTTAACTAAAGCATTTTTGACTGGTAGCCAGCTAGTGATTTGTTTTAATTAAACTGTACAATTGATCTTTTATATATCTTTTATATATTTAGTTATATATATATATATTTAGATTTTGTTCTAAATATATGTTGTTTGTATTAAATTTAAAATTAAAATACAAGTGAAACAATATCTTTTGTTTCTTTTTCTCTGTGATGAAGTTAAAGAGGAACTGATTGATGACACACACACACACACACACACACACACAGAGTATATAAGGCTCACGTCCGTCACTTTGCTGTCAGTTGGACTCTACTGTATCTCAGTATGGAGGAGACCTACGTCAGGCATGTGGAGCTGTTGGGCTTCGAGAAACGACTGTACCCGAGTCAGCATTACGTAAGGCTCAAAACTTTTACTCTACAAACCCAAATCCTGCTCAAATCTTTAAATCTAGAGACAATCTTTCTGGAGTAAGCTGAGAATGTGAGTGTGTTTGAGTGGAATATGTCGTACTGTCTGTGCAGGTGTACATGCTGATGGTGAAATGGAGCGACCTCACAGAGAAGCTCATCTACAGGACGTATCCTGAGATCCACACCTTCCACGTGAGTTCCTGCTGCACTACAAAATAAAAGCTCTGCTATAACATCATGTCTGACCCTGATTCATAATAATCAACCTTCCACAAATCAATTCAAATCAAAAGTTTTGTGTTTCTGTGACAGAAATCGCTGAAGGAGATGTTTCCCATCGAGTCCGGTCAAATAGAGAAGAAGGACAGAATCATCCCGTCGTTACCAGGTAAAAAACAATAAGAAGTTTCATTATGTTTAAACAGTTTGTAAAAGAGTCACAGTCCTGCTCAACTCTCGTTTCTGCATTTTGGTTTTATAGGATGTCGTTCTGCTTAGTTATTTATTTATTTATTAGTGAGCTGCAGAGTCACAGACTTGTATTAACAGATAATCCAAATAAGTATAAATTCACTGAGTCCGTTCAGTTAACCCCCCCCCCTCGATGCTGTAATGTTATTTCAGGAAGCACCTGTGGTTATCAAACACATGTGGGTCAATCCAACTTCTCTTTTTTGAATTTGTTGAAGCAACGAGGCTGAAATCACAAATGTGCAAAGAGGTTCATTTACAGGAAACAGCTGACAGAGACAGAAATAAAAGCCTGCTAGGGTTAATGTTAGCATGTATATTCATGTTAACAACTAGCATTACTGTACAAAAGTCATTAAAAGAATAGTTTAATATTATAATAAAACATCTTTTCACTTTCTCACTATGAAACAACGATCATATAAAGTATGTCAGTCAGTACAGTGAAGTGTAATGAACAAAGAAAACAAACGCTAAGAAAAGACAGAAACCCAAACGTCCAGGAAGAGAGAGAGGAACCGAGCCCTCATTAGTGCTGCACTTCCTGTTTCCCTCCTTCACTTTTTAATTTTCATGAATACTAAACAGGTCTGTGCTAATTCTCTGTTCCTGTTCAGTTTTCATGAAAACAGAACTAAACACATTCCACTTGTGAAACCTCCATTACAACACAACCTCAGTCCTGATGCAACAGCAGTTTAACTACAAAGGGCTGGAAATTTCCACCTGTCCAAAGTCGCAGAACGAGATTTTAATAGCAACCCTATTAACCCTCCGCAAACCAATGCATGTTGTGGGATTAAACTGTTTCTGCATGTATTTAAAAAATACAAATAAATAATAATAATAATAAATATTAATACAATTACAAAAATAGCCTGTGAATTTACATTATTTTAATTTAAAATAATGTGAAATATCTGTAAATAATCATAAAATTGCTGCTTATTTATTCAAATCTATATATTTTTTGCAGATATGTTTATTAACTGAGCTCAAACTTCTAAAATGATGGATTTGTTTGTTAATTGACAGATATTTTGTATAATTATGAAAGTTTTCACAACAAAAACGACAAAAAATAAATGTTGTTTATCAGTGTATAAGCATTGGTAAACTGTGCAAATACAGTTTTTATCAGTGTAAACAACAATAATTACTGTAATTTCACAGATAATGACTTTTATTACAGTTCTAGAACTTTTAACATTCACATTAAAATAATAAAGATCTAATAATAACAGCACTTCTGTAAATTTAAGCCTGATTATTTGTATTATAGCAGTGTTCACCTGTATTTATAGCTCATTTCATTGGTTTTACAGTGTAAATATCTTTAATTAAACATTAAAAAGCCCAAGAATTAAAGCTAGAAACTGTATTTTAATCATAGAAACATATTTTGATCTCTGTGGCTGTCTGCGTCCTCAGCGCCGCGGTGGCTGGACAGCCAGAAGTCGACAGAAACCCGACAGACCACGCTGGTGGAGTACTGCCACTCCCTCATCAACCTGCCGGCTCACATCTCCCGCTGCAAACACCTCACCAACTTCTTCAAGGTCCGACCAGAGGACGAAAACCCGCCTGCCGCAAACACGTCAGTACATCCCGTCTGCTTCCACTGGAGAGAGAGAAAGAATATTTATCACCAATAACTGCAGGTTGACATGTAGAATAAATGAGAAATGATCATTTTCTCTTCAGGCTGAAAAGAAACGAGACGTTCGTGGTGTCCAGGGAGCTGGCCAGAGGCAACGCGTCCGGTAAGAGTCACTTTAAAACCTCTTTATTAATGTTAAAGCTTCAAAGCCATTTATTCACATATTTATGTGTTTGTTGGATTAAATAAATATACAGATAATAACATTAGCTAACTTGTGACTATATATTCGTCTCTTTTATCTTTTAACCATCTTTAAAATTTGGTTGTCTTTTCAACATAGATTAGCTTAGCATATAGCATATTGAGGCTTGCTTCACTTTGATTGGAGCACAGAGCAGAAAGGGGCGGGGCTTTTGAAGGGTCACTCGTCCAGATTAGTTTCCTGTAAATGTCGCTGTCGTTTCCTGACGTGAAAACTGATGATTGTGTTTTGCTTCTCAGAGATTTCGGGCCCGATCATACTGGACACCTACAGAGTGATCGCAGACTTCGCCAAGACGTCCAAACACGAGATCAATCTGCACACCGGAGACCTGGTGGAGATCGTGGAGAAGAACCAGAACGGTGAGAAGAATTAAAGGAACATAAACGCAATAATTTATCTTTAATGGATGGGAGCAGGTTCTTGAGCTGCTGTGTTGGGTTCAGGTTGGTGGTTCTGCCAGTGTGAGTCCAAACGAGGCTGGGTTCCCGCGTCCTACCTGGAGCCTCTGGACGGTCCGGATGAGTCCGAGGATGCCGACCCAGACTACGAAGGAGAGCTGCACGTCACCGTCAGAGCCTACCAGGCGGAGCAGGAGGACGAGATCTCTCTGGAGGTCGGAGAAACCATCGAGGTCATTCACAAGCTGCTGGACGGCTGGTGGGTCGTCAGGTACGATCTCCACACCGAGCACACGTTAAAGGCTTTAATCGATCTGTTAGCATAATCCGATATTTTAGACATCATAGGAGATCTTTGGGGGTTTTTGAGGAAGCTGAATCAATTTCTTCAATTTTAATGCAAAATAGCCGATTAAACCAGAAGTGGGCTCGTTACAACTCCCAGTGGGCTGATTTTTGTTTGATTTTGAGTAAATTTGGGTTTATTTATATGCTGAATACAGAACATTGGAAAGCTCAGTGTCACTGGTTTATTTCTTATATATTTCTTTCATAATATTTCTTCAGTTTTGTTGGCGCTTTGCAGCTTTTTGTCACTGTGTGTCGCTGAAATAAATAAAAATCAGCCCAACAAAAGTTGAAATGTGGCCACTTCCTGTTTAAACGTTCATTTTTAACTTTGAAAATGTGACAAATGGATTCAGCATCTTCAATAACCCCAAAAACGACTCCTATATCATCCAAATCAGCCAAACAGCAGCTGAAATATATTGTCCATATAGCTGATTATACTCATGCTAATCATTTTATTCTCTTAATTTTGTATCTTTCAGATTGTTTGTATGTGTTTTATTCTTTGTAATTCTACCTCACGTCTATATGATTTTAATTCTCTTACTTTATTTTTGCCTCCTGAAATGTTTTTAAACCTTGCACTGTGTAACTTAAGCTTTTATTATTGTTATTATTAATAATTAATTAAGTAATATCTCCTCATACTGCTGTACTTATTAGTTTATCTGGATGTTTAATGTCGTGTTGTGCAGGAAAGGAGACGAGACCGGTCACTTTCCCTCCATGTTCCTGCACAAGGCCGGTAAGAGAGAGAAGTACGAGGCGGAGAGGACGGCGGTGCAGGGACAGAAACCGCCACCTCGCAGGTACGTCAGAGATTACACTGTAAAAACATCTCCATCAGACAGAAGGAGAAATTGTAGAATAATAAAGCAGATTTGTTGCAGCCATACGTCAACAAGCTCACTTCCATGACCGCAGACCTTCGTCAGCAAAGTGGATGTATTTTTACAGTTTGTTCTTATTTTAGAATTAAAGTGAAATACTAGAAATAAAGCTGTATTCTTGTAAATTTACAACAAAAACAAATGTTATTTTTATGGTAAAAAATACAGAAGAACTTTTCTACTATCACAGTAAAAGGATATTAGTACTTTACAGTTAAAGCTGGAGTTTTATTCCATATTTTATGTCTTTACCATCAAAACAAAATACCACATAAAAAAGCTGAGATATGTTTTACTGTTAGAGAAACAACTATTTATATTATTTACAGTGAGTACAGGTTTACAGTGTATCCTGTATTAGGGTTAGGGTTAGGGTTAGAATGTTAAAATGTTACTGTAATAATAATAATAATAATAATAATAATAATAATAATGAAAAAGTTAAAAAAGGACAATATTCTTTATGCAGTTCCTTTTCAAATATTCATTATATTTATATTAATAGAAATATGTGACAGTAGCCTACAACAGAAGCAAAACTAGACCTGAATAAACTTCCTGTTTTTTTTCTTTTCTTTGTTTCATTCCTTGCTCCTCTTTGCATATTTTTTTTCATTTAAAGGACCATTGTCTAATTAAACTACAATACTGTGCTGTAAATTTAAAATAATACAGTAATGAACTGCAATTATTATTAGTAATAAACTGTAATTCTAAAATACAGTAAGTAACACTTTGCTGATGAAGCTGCTGCCAGTTAAAGTCTGACAGTGTAGATTTATTGTCCCTGGAACACGTTGCCTTTCATTCTTAATGATTTATTATTGAAAAAGAGGAAAAAAGAGAAACAATCTTTTGCAATTTTCACCTTTGTCCGCAATTTACCTGCAAAAAAATTCCTCAAACATTGAAGTTTTTTAGAAAAGCTTTCATGAAATCAAACATTTTCAGCCGCAACAATCCCAAAAGAGAAATCCTGGAAGGACGCTGTGGGCTTCGGGAAACAAGGATCAATATACAGAAATAAAGTTCTAATTACCAGCTGCAGCTTGTAAGGAACTCCTGCACATTTCAGGATCCATATTAGGACTTTAAAACTAAGAGTTTAAAAGCAGAAATGTGAACAGTCCAGTTTAAAGTGATTGTAAAAGAACATTTAAATAAAACTCAGACATGCAGCTTGGCACAAAGTTCCTGTGCAGCCATATTGAGTCACTTCAGACAAAAGAGGAAGCGTGCCACACTTTCACACTCGGTTGCACCAGTTTGTGATTTCATGAATGCATCTGTTTCTGCAACAACACTTCTCTTTAAAAACATCATATAAAACACCTGCATTATATGTGAGTCCTATCCAGCTGGGGGAAGTAACAAAGTACAACTACTGTGAAACATTGTGAAACTCAATCGCTGGAGGAGCCTCCACTCACCGCTCCAACTCTCTGTCTCAGGTCCACCATCCGAAATGCAAAGAGCATCCACAACAAGTCTCGCCGTAGGATGAGCCAGGATGTCTACCGCAGGAACAGCCGCCGGTACCTCCAGCAGAAGGGCCTCGCCGAGCCGCAGAGGAACTCCAAGAACGCCGCCAAGTCACCGCTGAGGGAGCGGAAGAACCAGGGTAACGAAACCGCCAAGTCCGAGCCGGTTGATCAGATCCAGCTGAAGTTTAGTCAGAAGACCCTTAAGACATTGATAATGATGTGCTATGAATTTAATGAATTTATATGTTGTTTATTTATAATTGTGCGAAAAAACACCTTTCGTCCTTTCAGTTGATCGCATTTTTGGGGGGTAAACATGCTAGAAAACTTGTGAAATTTGGCACACCAAATCACCGGCATGTATGAAAATGGGTAGTCATATGTATCATGTCAAGATGTACAAAAAATCCTCTTGCAGCATTTTCCGAAATCCGACAGGAAGTCAGCCATTTTGAATTGAATCAAATTTTGGTGCCATTTCCAGGCCTTCTATTTTAGGTATCAAAGTGTTGAGGTTTCATCAAACAACGTGTGTGCGGCGTGGCGTCAAAAATAGTCATTTCGCCATGGAACAGAAAGTTGTCGTAACTTCAGTGTACTTTATCAAATCTGCACCAAACTTCAAGTGCTTTATTTTTGTTGATAATTTAATCAAACAAACTAAATCAATACTTCGACTGGCACAACAATCTACCCATAAAACCACTCTGAACACACATGACCTTCTTATTTGTGTCCCACAGACAACATCCCCGAGCAGTCGAGCTCCAGTTCGGAGAGCGAGATGAAGAAAGAGGCTCCGGTCATCCCTCCCCGGCCCAGTCCCGAGCTCATCATGGAGCGCTGCAGCGACAACACCCGCAAGAGAGTCAGCATCCACGAGACCCGGTCCAGCACCAGCTAGCCTGCGGATTCACCGTGTGCGTTAACTGTGTGTTAACAGTCGCCATGAAGTCGTCTCTGAGAGCTTTTTTTTTTCTTCCTTAATTTGTTGTGGGTAGTTCTGGTCATTTCAGTCAAAAGTGTGGAAGATAGTTTTACATGTAATTGTGACTTTAAAGATGTTTGTGTTTTCCTTCTTGTCAAAAAATCCCACGTAAAGACCAAAATCAACATGTTAGCTTCTTTTAAAAACACCTCACAAATATACAGTTGAACTCAGAGCTGCAACCATCAGTTGGTTAATCGATTAGTTGTCGACTATTAAATTAATCACCAGATATTTCAATTATAAATAGATCGTGAAAAAATGACAAATTCATCAGGTTTCTTTAGTCCTCTGTTAGTAAACTGAATATCTTTATTTGCAATTTTAACTGTCATTGCAAGAAAGATCCTAAAAACACTGCAATTTTTCAGAAAACCTTCTGTGAAATCAGCCATTTTATAAACATTTTTGATAAACATTTTTCACAATTTTCTTACATTTTATGGACCAAAAGATTGAATCGATTAATCAAGAAAATAATTGTCAGTTACCGCTGCTCACTGTAGTACGCCCCTGTAGTAACAGGGGCGCATTAATCTAGTCTTCTGGTCTTTTTATGGGATTTATTGACAAGAAACTGAAGAATATCACCGCCTGTATGTTTGGAAAAGCTTTACTTTGGTGCCATCTGGTGGTCATTTGGAGAATAACACAGTGTCAGACAGCAGTACAAGCTGCTCCAACCAGAAACATCAATTATTTAAAGTTTCTCCAAACATAAAAAGGCTTCACTGAACTGATTCTGATTTAATCTGCAGCTCAGTGTTTGATATTTAAACAGCGTCTGTGTCCGACAGCTCTACCTCGCTGTTAGCTCAACGGTTCGAAAGAAGCTACACAATAAAAGCTAAAGTAAAAGTAAAAGCTGAATTTATTTCATTGCAGTGTTGTTAGAAGTGTGCGGGGGAAGAACAGTTATATCTCTGTTTGTAACTCATGTGTGGAAGCATTTCCATCTATTTCCCAGCAGGCACTCTGTAGAGCTTTTTTGTTTTTATTTATTTGCTTAATGTACAGAATGTATACAATAATACATTTTGCATTTTAAGCTTTTATTTCTGCAGCCGCTAGTGACTGTTTCCTCAAATATTAAATATGTCAGCTAATAACACATTCACTGGAACTTTTACTCTCTGGAACTTTTTATACCTCAGACTAAATGTTTCACTCATATTCTTCATGATCAGGAAGCAACGTGGTGGAAGGTTTCTGGGTTTTGTGGGACAGTCGGACAGAAGTAGGTTACAGAGAATGTAGGTCTGTCTTTAAAAAGCCTCAAAAAGCAGCAGCACATTTATAAGTGAGGCTGTCGAGGATACGAAGCTGATTCAATAATTGTAAACACCGTTTGAAGACATTTAGTTGTTTATATCCTTCTAAATTCACCAATTTGTTTACTTTATTTATGCATATAATTATTTGCTTCTGTGTTTATTTTAGGATTTTTTTATACTCTTTATAAATAAATGAAGCATTACCAAATATAAATAGTAAATATACAACAATAAATCAAATGAAAAGATAATATACTTTGTCCAGGGAGTATATCTTAAAGTATATATTATTGTCTTTTTGTATCCTCTTGCATCTTTTATCAAGATGCCCGATTATTTATATTCTTAATTATATAGATATATAGATAGATATATATATTCATTAATGGTATTTTTCCATTTAATTATTTATTTATGTTTTATTAAATGTACTAATTCCAACTGTGTTCTTCTACAAATACCAGTAATTGTTTAAATATCGTTAATAATAATAAAAACTTTGACCCCGACGTGATTTGAACACGCAACCTTCTGATCTGGAGTCAGACGCGCTAC